CGATTACTCACGGCTGCTGTCAGAGGAGAGAGTTGCCGTGCATCCAACGACAAGGAGGATGGCCCACAGCTTCTTGGTCATGATTTTTTTTTTAAGATGACGATGATAACAACGAAAGTTTTGAGAAAATTGATTAATCGAAATTCGCGAGATTCACCTTTGTGGTTAAAATTGTATTTTTTTATTGAGGCTAAATACAGGATTTTGTTGCAGCGGCACTAAGGATTACCGGTTATGATGACTAAAGGCACGAATCGCGCGATAAACGGCGCCGTTAGAACAAGACTGGCTATAGACAAGAGGGCATTGACAGATGGCAGATCGTAGCTGCACTCGTGGATACTTTCACTGCCTGCAACATACATGCACCTGCGCCTTCTTCGTCGTCTGCAACGGCAGACGAGTCTTACTCAGACCGTGAAGAGGACTGGACGAAAGTGCCCTAGAAGACTATGCAATGTCTCCGTTATCCTCTGCGTATAAATCATTGGTTTCTGCACGCTCACAGAGAAATTTGCGGCGACGCTTTAATCATGACGAAAGCGTATTGCATTTGCAAATAAACGTTAAAGGTATAGTTTCCTGTAGAGAACAAGTCGACACAGGTACTAAAGAGATCGATAACACAAGTTACAAATTATCCTTTAATTATAGATATTTTCAGAATTTGACAATGTAAAATTTTAAAAAGATATGAGATAATAAATTTTGTATCATATTTATGATAGAAACCATATTTTTTATATATTTTTATTGTTTTTTAAAATTATAAACTTACATTCTATTTTTACTTTAAACCGTTTGATTATTCAAAAATCTATGACATATATATAATATTTTTATTAAAGTTTACATGGAAAAATTTAATATTTGGCTTTTACATAAAAATAATTTTTTTTAAAAGAAAAATTGCAAGATATAAATAACTTTTTTCTTTTATTTCGACTAAATAAGTGATGATTGAATTCTTGGAGTGAGTCTGCAAAATTGCGAAGACAGTATTTATGAGGCAACACAATAATCTTACATGCAATGTAAACAACAGGCGACCATGTTAATAAAGTGCAATTGTGGACGCAATGCTATAAGACTACAGTGTACTCTGTATGATGTAACGAGTCATTTGCATTCGACTGCAATTAAGCCGGTTGTATTATGCAATGAGATTTCGGTAAAAAGAATGTATTTCGTGACTTACAATCTGTCATCATAGACATTTATAATGTCAAAAGATATTCTAATATTATGATATAATATTAGAGAAAATCCTAATTTTTATACAATGCGCTTATCAAAATGTTTAGCATTAATTTTAAAATAAATTTTATCAAAGAACTTAAATTAAAAGAACAAGAGATTATTCTGCTCCTAAACATTTATATTTGTCAAATTTTATTTAACAAATTATAAAGACTATTAATTTTTTATCTTTTTAATAAAATGTTAAAAATTTTGTCAGTGTTTATTATGCTAATATAATATAATAATCTTATAGTATACTAAAGTTCCATAATATATATTCCAAAATATAATATTAATATATGTTAATAATATGTAATATTACTTAATATATATTATAAATATAATATATTTTAAAATATAAATTTACATTTATGAAATTTACATTTATTAATGATGATAAAAACATATATAAAAATTAGAACAGAAGTATACATAATTGCACAAAAATTTGGATAAATAAATTTTTAATCATAATTTGTTACAATTATGTTGTTCTCTAATTGCGGAATTTTTTTTATCTGTTGACATATATCCGATTTTGAATAAATAAATATATGATCTATTGTAATTTGAGAAAAATAAAATTTGCTGAAATTAAAATTATTTACATATAAATTATATAAATTATATAAATTATTTACATATAAATTTACAAATATTGAAAGTCTTCCTTAAATTAATTATTCTATTAAATTATTACAAAAAGTAAAATAATTTCTGCAAATCCTCGGATACTTATGATAACCTTTAAAACACGAATGTAAAATGGTTATCTATGTGCAGGAGTTTTCACATTCTTATGTGTAGTACTATGTATAATAAAATAATTATTTCATACATTATGTATAAGATTTTAAAGTTGCTTTCAATAAGATTTTTTAAATAACTTATTATTCTTATAATTATTATTATAGTTATTATTATTCTTATAGTTATTATTATAATTATTATTATTCTTATAGTTATTATTATAGTTATTATTCTTATACTTATTATTCTTATATACTCATTGTTCTTATTTTATTTTATTTTACAATTTTAATGTATTTTATTGACAATACTGCTTAGACCTTGAAAATTTAGAAAGAATTTTTTGTAATTTTAATCTTTTTATCCATTAAACTCATTTAATAATATTAATTTGAGATTATTTCAAATAATTTTTAATAATAATATAAAATATATTAACACGTAATATTCTGAAAAAATGTGCAATTTATAAGAATATTTGAAATATTTATACGAGATTGCAGATATATATATGATTAACTTGTATACCTGGCCGAAATTCGTGGTTAACAAATATAAAAAGGAAAAGATCTTTTAAAAGTATTCTTCTTCTTCGTTATTTTGTATTTTACAAGAACTTGGCCGGGTTTATTTGGGCAAGGTTACCAAAATGATTAGTCTAGTATCTCTTCTTGCCAAGTTGATATCTCCAGCGTGATTTCAGGTTTCGCATTGAAAGTTTAGGTATGAAAACAGTTATAAAGTTATAAATATTTTATATACAGTTATAAAGTTATAAATATTTAAATTCCATATAACAGAAAGTCGAATATAAAAATAATTTTAAATGCTATCTGAATTTAATTTTATGAATAAATTATTTAAATTATTTCAAATAATTAAATAAATTTAAATTAATTTAAATTTAAATTTGATAACCCGAAAATTTATGAAAATGAGTGAGCAAATCCAGTCAGCAAATTAATTTTTATTTTTTGAATTCAAATTTCATATAACAAAAAGTCGAATATAAAAATAATTTTAAACGTCGTTATTTGAAATGAAAATTTTACTATAAAAATATAATTTAAGTAAATAAAAATATTAAAATTATCCTTGTAATGTGCAATTATACAAGATATAAAAGTAAAATCTTTGATACGATAACTGTACGCAAAAAAAAGTGTTTTAAATTTAATTACATGTCTTAAATAATCTACTCAAATTTTTCTATCGATTTAACATAATATGGATTATATCAATGATTAAACAAATGATAATATGTTAATACGCATAATATGCATAATATGCTAATATATCAACATAAAATAAACCATATGCAGAAGAAATAATTGCCGTTGCAAAAAGTTAGCTGTCATTAGTTATCCAAATCAATTAGTCTTTCTTTCTCAAATAAACTATAGAAAAATATTTTGAATACAATAGGTTTATCAAGATACTGTACTTTAGGTATTATTTCACAATCGACTGCGAACTTTCCCACTTTTAAGCGCAGTCGGCGATACAATGTTGGGTAATCTGCTGCATAACATGCATTTTCTCTCTTATATATCGTCAATAGGGGGAAGTGGTCCAAATACCACAACAAAGTGAAAGAAAGAGACCTTCTCGTGCCATTTCTTGCTTCCAAGACGTCTCCCTACTTACACTTAATGTGTTTGCTGATGATATTACGTAAAAACTCTACCAAAATTTCATGTCTCGGAACCAGTTCGCTACCTCTTCTCTCAGATGTATCGCAAACATCGGTGAAAGTGCATGGTACGCGCTTCTCGTCCGCGTAATACTGCAAAACGAATCCTCGTATCCTTCGTGATCGATAAGTATCAAAGTGTTTTCTTTTGTGTCATTCAGATTTATCAAGTGGAGAAAAAGAGAGATAAAAATTACAGAAGAAATGCAGCTAAGAGCTTTCTTGATTGTGCTACTGTTACGCGCTTCGGTTGCTGCCAATTTCGGTAAGTAGTAACGCCGGATTTGATTTCGACGATCGCATGTGCAAGTACTCTTGAACATTGATGCTTTCAATGTTCGGTATTGTTATAAAAAATATATTTAAAAAAATGCGAAATTTAATTTCTCTCGAAACTTTCATATTCACTCATATCTTGTAAATCTAGCTTACATTTCTAGATTATATCAAGCAATTTAAAAAGAGCATTACGATAGACGAATATTATTACAAAATATTATTTTTACTTTAGATAAATTACGTTACATCATTTTAAATGTTACATCATTTACACCATATAAATCAATGTTTAAAATGATATATAAAGATACAATTTTATTGTTATGTTTGATTGTTATTTTTATCAAATTTTGATTAATTTATTAAAATGAAAAAATTTAATCATGAATTTTATTTCATATTATTATGCTAAAGTTATTATTTTATACTTATTTTATACTTATATAAATGAAGAAAAAGTTTTATCATGAATTTTATATTGCTGTATTATTATTGCTAAAATTTTATACTAATCTAACACAATTTTTAACACAATTTCTAACACAATTTTTCTTACAAAATTTAATATTGATATTTTTTAAATAAAATTTTTAAAATTTTGAAAAAATAAATGTATTATATAGAAAATAGTCACATGAAGTTGCGAAAATTTTCTGATGTTCTTATGTAAATTGATATGTGAAATTATTAAAAAAATAAATCAAAACACGTCTTGCTGCAAAAATGGATATGCCGTGTTTGTTGATATATTACATAACGATTTTATTTTGTAATAGAATGTGAAGTGATGTATGAGATGTTCTCAAGGAATACATGCTGCTATCAAAACCAGAATAAGTGAAAGTTTTATTATGTGCGATTACGTGTGTGCATTCAATGTTAATATTAACGTTCAATGTTAAGATGTATCTTTATAATAATTTGTAAACAGTCACGTATATTATAAAATAAATTTATTTCTGTGTCTTCCTATTTTAATCAAAGTAAAATATATTGAAAAGTATTATATTATGTATCACATATTTTCTTTGTGTGATTTATTTTATATTTAATATAAAGTCAATTAATTATCAAATGTTATTTTTAGAGGATAATTTTAAAAATTGTTATCCCAACATGTCGGGTTTCGACGTCTGCGTACGAGAAGGATTGAATGCGATTCGAGGTTATTTTAAATCCGGCCTACCACAATACAATGTACTTCCATTTGATCCCTTTTTTGTAAAAGAGATAACGGCCTCAAGAGGCGTACCAAACTTTGGTTTTACTTTAATTCTTCGAAATGTCACCGAGACCGGATGGTTTACCAGTAAAGTGACAAAATTCGTTTCTGATTTAAAAAATTACAAGGTATACGTATAATTCGTTAATATATTACGTAACATGTAATTTTATATCATTGGATAATTGATTATTTATTGTATATTGTCGGCACATGTTCTAATTTGAGATGTGTAGATATTTTATAAATACTTTATATTAAAAGTGAGAGAGAATCTATTACAAATGACATGATTGTAATAGATGTATGTTATTTTCCGACATTTAATTTTTCTGGAAAAAAATGTGTAAACAGAAGTAATAGTGTGATGGGCGACGAACTGACTAAACAAAAAATTGCATCAATTAGGTTGTGTACACGCAAAGTTTCCCGGCGAAGATGCTAACGGGTAATTATGAATTTAAAGGTGCATTCTTTAGCTCCACTATAACCAACAGAGGAAAATTCACCCTCGATTTGTGTAAGTGCTATTAGCAAATTTGCATTTGCTTAGTAAATTTACTTCAAATACACAAAAAGACTCCATTAAGACTTCATTAGCATTATTAAAAACTTTTAAACTTTAAAATTTTTTTTAAATTTCGATTATTGAATATTTATTGAATATTTATTCGATTGTTGAATATTTATTTAAAGATTATTACAAAATCTTTTGATTTCTTGTTGCAGTCATATTTAACATATTTTATCAATATTATAACAAGTACGAGTAATATTTTAAGAGATTAAGATTTTAATTGATTTTTAATATTCAATACAAGTAAATAATTTGCGATTTTTTTGCTATTAATTGCAATATGTTTGTAGTAAAAAAACAAAAGTATTAAAAACATTTATTTGCAATCTTTCTGTTTCTCCTTATTGCAGATGATTTGATACAAATGACAACTGTGACCAAGTTGCCAGGACAAAAAGTGCGGACTCAAATGGATGTCCAAAGCATCAGAGATTTAAAGCTTCATATTACAAATCTTTTATTTGGCAAGAAATTCTTGGAGAATATTCTCGATAAAATAATTAATAATACATGGCAGCCGAGTTTTGTAATAACGAGAGGTTTGATTAATGAATTAGTTTCGACTGGCTTTACAGAAATTTTCGATAACGCTTTCCGTAATTTTCCTTTTGAACAAATTTTTAAATCTAAATCTTCTATAAGTTAGATTGATTATAAATTAAAATAGATTACAATTCTACTAACAAAAGAAAAATAATTTTTAATTTCTTTTAATTAATAAGTATTTGAATAAAGAGTGTGTTTGTGGATTTGTAAGTAATATTAAAACATTACGGGGAGAGCGAAATTTATTCGGAAAAAATTTCGTTATATTTTTGTTACATATATGAATTATGAATAAATTAACAATTAAAAAATGAATTAACATAAAAATATGGTACACTGTCTTGAATAAATATGCTCTTTTATAATTCGTATATCGTTATGTTACATATCTCATAGTGTCGAATAATTATCAAACAACTCAATACGAATTAACATTTGTATTAATTTATTATACCATATTCCCATGCTAATGTGTTACATTTTTTACTGAGTCCTATAAAGAATGTCAAGCATTTTGATGAGCGCAGAGAGTAGAAGAGTACATTTTTTTTTGTCTCAACAGTTGTTCGCCTTGAGAAACTGCGGTTCTTGACCCTGAATTCTTATAAGAATCTATAGATCACATTGAAACATCGTTGATAAATTAAAAAACATTTTATCTTTATCTTAAATTATTTTGATTTAAGCAGATAAATTGTTAAATGTAAATGTAAATCAGTAATTATATTTTTCTTATCATTCAACTTTAGACATTTTAATAAATACGATTTCTCTCTTAAAACCAGATTCACAATATTTATTAAAGAAAGATACAGGTGAATTTACACACATGTTGAACATACAACATCTAGATATCTAGATCATAATTTTTTTTCTACATATATTTTATACATATATTAGATCATGAAACAGATCTAAAAAAAAATCTGTACATTTTTAAAAGAAATATTAAAAGAAATTTAATCCATTAATCCATCATTTCATTTTAGAAGTATAAAGTTAATTTGACATAAAAAAAGGAAAAAGATATTGTGTGCGCTTGAGTGATATATTTAGTTAGATTAAATAATAAATGAGTAATTTAATTAAAGATAAGTAAGATCTTTATCGATTTTTGTAAAAATATACGATAAGAAATACAAAATTTACAAATCGTTATTCCCTATAATCTTTGTTTCTTGGAGTTAATCTGTACAGATCAATCCTTCGATTTCGTTTTTTCCTCACGTTTGAAGACAGGAAGTGCGATTGGCGATCGGCGACGATCTTCCGCGAACATATACGTAAGCAAGTCAGAAACGTGACTCAAAACGAACGTGACGAAGGTGATTAACGGTGTTTAACATTCTCCTACTCTCTTTTCGGCTGTCTCATGACGTTTATTCTGACGTTTTCTCGGACGCTTTCTTTTCTCTATATTTCTTCACTCATTTTTATTGACAATTATTATGTTGGGATTTTAAATTTAAAAACTAATGTGTTAACTAATGTGTTAACGCACTTAAATTACGCAATTTAATAGATTTATCCTGTTGTAATATGTAAATAGATTGTACGAGTATTTGATTTGAGTCACGCAATACACTTGGTTCAATTGTCGGATTTGTTAATTATTACAAGCGGAGAAAACTGCTTTTTCCATGCCCTTTCCAATCATTAAGCATGTGCTACTTTAATATTACTAGATAAAAGAAAAAATTATAAACAAACGTCGGCAATTATTGAGAAAGTAACCGCATAAATTAATCAATGGGTTTGTTCTCCTTCGGCACCAGGGTCGCTCATTAGAGGAATCTTACGCATAGTTTACTGCGGTTAATTTAAAGTTAACGTTGGTAAAAGTTTCTTCACAAAGTTCCTTCCATGAGATTCACACCGTTTCCTTCGCTTTTTTACGTTCAGGAAAGTTGATTGGCGAAACTTATGGCATGATTTCGCTTATGTTATTGTACGCTATTTAAATCTTAATTAAATTAAAATTTATTTAAATGAAATACATGAATCATAACTTAATTGAAAATTTCAGTGCTATGAGTGCTAATGTGGGGGAAACAATAAGAAATTATCGTATATAAAATTCTAAACAAGTGTAAATATTCTTTTGCTCTGCCATAATTTTGTGTTATCTTCGAGAACAAATTAAAATTTGCTTAAGTAAAATGTATAAATATAATCATTATTTAATTAACAATTTAAGATCAAAATAATAACAAAATTTTCATTACAGTATACTGTTATACGAAGACAAACATTTTCTTTTTCTCTTCGTTATAATTCTAATTATTTGTAATTCAAACAATGACGCTCGGTAGCTCCGGAATATTTTGATATAAAACATATCCACACTTTTGCTATTTCATTTTCTTTGCATTTGTTATTACGTGTATTGAAAGGCGTCAAAGAACACATGGGTCTTGATGTCCCGTTTGATCCTCTTCTTCTTGTTCTTTATTCCCGAGGCCGGCATAGCGGGGGCAATGTCAAGGTAGCTTATAAGGCCTGGCACATCCCTGCTAGCCGATCATTTCTCTTCGAGAAACCTGACCGTTCCACGTAGTGTATATCGACAGATATCAATCAAGTAACGAACAAAAGAAAAAATATTTATTAGAGATGAGGTATGCTATACTACTGTGTTATACGTGCTCGCTGTTGATCGTCGCTCGGGCCATCGGAAAATATAGGGGCCTAGAATTTTTGGAGCCATGCTCCAAGAACGACCCGAGACTAGAGGCTTGCCTCACCAGAACGGCCAATACGCTTGCCGAACACTTTCGTGAAGGTAAAATGTTCAATATTTAAAACAATCTACACATTTTGTGATCTTGAAATACTTATTTCTTATATAATTTTCTGTAGAAGTCTATAAGATAATAATTACACTGTTGTTATCATATGATAAGTGATATCGTTTGATTTTTAAAGTCCAGTTATTTGACCTAATGATGATAGATTCCATATGTCAAAAAACTGTATCTAATTTATTGTATACAATTTTTTTTAAATGTATTTTAAAACTATATTATGCAATTAAAATCCTTTTATCAATTTTATTCTAAGTTAATTCTATTCGTGTTTATTGTAGATTAAAACTGATATGAATCAAAGCATCTTGGAAGAGTTAAAGTACAGTTGAAGTAAAGTTCAGCTTGCCGTTTCTTGTAGTGTCGAGTGAAGGCTCTGTAGATAGGAATTCGCGGTTTACCGAGATATATTTAAGCGTTGCTTAAGCAAATTATTAGAAATGTCAATAATTTTTGCAAATATTTTATTGTCATATCTATTATATCATCTAATATTTTTTTTACATATGTAAAATATAATTTAGAAATTTAAATAAATTAAACGCCTGTTATTAAACGAATATAGAAATATATATAACTTTTAATTAATAGAAATTTTTTATAATAAATGCAAGTAAATAATTGACGTATTATTAATTATATTATTGTTACAATGATTAATAATATAAAAATAATATAATATATAGTAATTTTAATATATTTATATTTTATTATCTAGAAATTTTGGAAAAGTAATTTTTATTTTAGTTTATTTATATTATAGTTAAAGGCATCGTTCGTGATAAACAATAACAATACTACAAATAATTTGTAAATAAATTGGAAGTTGAAAGTCTGGGACGAACCGGTTCTGTAACCACGTGGTTTTGTTAAAGATTGCAGTACGTTATAACGGTGTATTCGAATGGTCACCCAGTGTCCCACATTCTACTTACATTGTACGTTATTTGTCTGACATACCTGGAGCAATAGCTTTCTTTCAACATACCAGCGAGTAAAAAATCATTTTTGGATACAATAAATTTTTCAAACAAGTTATAAACATGCTGCATAAACATTAAATTTTACACTTGATATTCCTATCTAATTTACTAATTGAAACAGAACATCAAATTGTTTTTGTTGTATTTCATATCATTATGTTATATTATTATTATATTATTATGAAATAATTAAATATTATTTAATCAGTGAGTGTTAAATAAATTAAAAAGAAAAAGATAGAAATAAAAGTTTCAATAGAAACATGCAAGATTTATTACCGCAGTTTATGTCATAGTAGTTTGTGTCATTTGTGGTGAAGTTACATATTAGTTCTAACTCTTTGCAATTGCAGGTCTACCGCAACTAGGTTATCCAGAAGTAGAACCGATTATCCTAGACGAGTTGCATATCGCGCTTGGAGGTGGTCCGAATGGTTACAGGGCGCAATTCAAAGATATCACAGCAAGAGGAGTTTCCGCTCTGCGAATTACTGGTCTCAGGACAAGGTTGAGTGACGATGAGATCCAATTGCAATTGGCCTTCAGTATTCCCAGAATTAGAGCGGCTGCGAGGTATCGATCCAGTGGAACCTTGATTTTGGTGCAAGCTAGTGGTGCTGGAGATTACTGGGGCGAATACGGTAAGTCTCCTGAAAAAATATAATTAATTAATTTATTTGGTAATGTAATTTATCTATTGCATTATTTATTGTTTCAAAGTATTGTTACTTGAAAATATTATTTTCTAAAAGGGAAAATATTGTTACTTATTATTATATGTAATATATTAGTTTATCTTGAATCTTAGACCGAAGTGAAATGGCAGCAGTGCAAGTATGTCGTATTAGCAGTAACTTTCACCTGCACAGTGTATATTCATTGTTAACTTTACTTACTAGTAAATACTTCTGTAGCATAAAACAATTGTTTGAAAATAATAGTATATTATATATATTCATGCATATTTTCAAAATGTTATAGAGATAATGTTTTATTGAGATAATGTTTTATTGAGATAATGTTTTATTACAAGTGCACAATGAATTAAGAGTTTCATTATACGAAGCAATAATTCTTAATAATTAGAATTTAATTAGAATTTCATTTAAAGTTGTAATAATAGAAATCTTTCGATTTTTGATAAATTATAGATCTTTTTAAAATATTTGTAGTAATAAGTTTAGTAATATTTGTCTCTACTAATGCAAAATTTAATTTATATATGTTTGTTTAATTTATATATTTAATTTATATATGTGAATTTTAATGATTAATCTAGTTAATTAATTCTATATTATTAAGTATTAATATTATATATTAAACTCTTTACTAGAGAAATTAAATTACTCTATAAATGACAATATTTATTTGTTTATTTATTTGTTGTCAAAAAAATGTTCTAAAAGGAACCTGTAAGAATATAACAATACTATTCGCGCCTTTATGAGCGCAACCCGATATACAAATCTTTACCATCTCAATTATATAATTCTGATTCCACTTGATTGTGATTCCACTGATTACACTTATTATTTGTTCTCACGTATTAATATTTTATAATAGTTAAAATAGTCTTGTTACTATACATTTTAAAAAATATTTGTTAATGATATAAAATGTATATATGTTTTAAATATTTATGAAATATTTACATATAAAGAGTTTATAACTATATAACAATATTAAAAATTAATTTTTAATTAAATTTAATTTATTTAAATAATTTATTGTTCACGATGATCATTATTGAAGTAAAGTATGTCAGAATAACAATTTATTGTAATTTATGTAAATTTATTCTCAACAAAAACGATATCTCTTCTTTTTTCCCCGACACGATTTTACCAAATTTTTCATTCCTTTTTTAGAGGGTGTCAAGGCTAAGGTCTTCATCAGAGCGAAACCGTTTTTGTACGAGAGTCGTCGTTATCTGAGATTACAACAACTCAAAATGGACTTTAGCGTACAGAATATTAAAATGGGAGTCGAAAACGTGCGCGATTCAAATAGCATACTGTGTAAGTTTTAATTTCATAACAATATTAAAATTATTTATTTTTGTTACAAGTGATTACGTCTATACATATGTGTGTATGCATTTAAAAAGAATAAAAATGTTTGTATTTTTAATAGTACGATGATGTTATAGTTTTTATAATACAAAATTTTAATACATTTTTGTTGATAAATATAAAAATTTAATAAATAAAAAAAAGAAAAATTAAAAAGTTAATTTAAGCTGAATTTAAAAAAAGAGAAATTATGTCATATATGTATACATAGAATTAATATATAAAATCTTTTTTGTTGACAATCTTAATAAAATATTTAAAATTTTACGTATAAAAATTTTATTATTCATGAATTCTTATATTCTAATATTATCTTTATTTTATAGTGGCAGCTTTGAATCTTTTTATCAATACAAACAGCCAGGAGTTGTTGAAGGAAATGAAGCCGGATCTGAGAAGGAAACTCGTGCAAGTAATGACAACTTTCGTAGAGAAACTATTTGCCCAGGTGCCATATGACGCATGGATCACAGATTAAATATTCGACCAATAATTGTCGAGAGCAAAACCCGACGTCACCACGTCATCGGTGCACTTGAACTGCGACGTGAGACTTGACGCATGAGAAAAAGAACTCTTATTTTGTGTCATCTTCGAGATAGATTGAAGACTCCGATACAAAATTTACAATGGAAATCACGGACAAATATGTCGATTATTTTTAACCGGAATTTCCAAGTGTTGAGAAAAAATTCGCACATAACGAACAATAGTTTTTTTAATCTAGTGCGTAGTAGATTATCTGCAAAGTAATCTGCGGAGGTTAAACACTATGGTTATGCCACATACATGATACAGGGTATTTTGTATGAAACTCTTCAGAACTTGAAGCAAATATTTTTCAAAAATACTGAACTTTGTTATTTTTTTATAAAGGTGTTATTTAAAACGTAATTATATGGAAATATTTGCGGGGAAAATTAAAAAAATTTGAGCTTGAAGAGTTTTGCAAATCAATAACAAATACAATAATATATACATATTAATTTAGATCCGATACAAAATTTACAATGGAAATCACGGACAAATATGTCGATTATTTTTAACCGGAATTTCCAAGTGTTGAGAAAAAATTCGCACATAACGAACAATAGTTTTTTTTAATCTAGTGCGTAGTAGATTATCTGCAAAGTAATCTGCGGAGGTTAAACACTATGGTTATGCCACATACATGATACAGGGTATTTTGTATGAAACTCTTCAGAACTTGAAGCAAGAGAGTTTTGCAAATCAATAACAAATACAATAATATATACATATTAATTTAGAAAAAATATTAATTGCGCATAATTTATAATAAAATCATCTTATTATTAAAAATGGTTTGTTATGATTATTTATTTAATCTTTTCTTCATTAGTAGTATCGAAAAAAATACTCAATTAATCATCTCAAAGCATTTTATGTAATGATGAATAAATGAATAATATGGCGTATAACATATGGCGTTTAAATTATGATGTACTTTTATTATTATTTAACGTCATACACGTCGATTTATTAAAGCAAAATTAAATAATTTGTTAAAATAAAATATGTGTATAATGTATATAATTATATAAATACACAATTTTACATACAATTATATATGTATTTGGTTCCTATATTACATTATTTAGTTTCTTTTTTTTTAATACTTATTAAGTAAAATCAATATTGTTAAATTATCAAAATAATTGTTTGCTTAGCCAATTAAATTTTATGCGTTACACTTTCTTTTACAATATATTAAAGCTAATTTCAAAATTTTTACTTTTCTATTACATTATTAGGTTTTATTTTATAAATTTCAATTAATACAAAAATTTTAAATTAGCGCATATATATGTTTGCATAAAAATTATTCACAGAATTCATATTTTGCTATAGCAAATTCTTCGTAGAAAAATCTCTTATTTCAATATATTCGCAAGAACGTATGATATTGGATAAATAAAAACGCAATTCGGCTATGAATTTTTCCACTTTAGCGAAACTACGTCATTTAAATTCCTATTACTGCAATAATGAATGACAGTAACATGACAAATGAACGTCAACGAGGAGCTTTGAAAATCCTGGACTAGCACAATTATCGGATAATATAAATGACATCTTAAATGAAATTATCGATCATTTCAT